AGAATGGAGGAGAAGGGATTGCGGCATGGCCATCCCTCCTGGGGGGTGATTTCTTGCTTTCTGTCTCTCTGTCTCTGTCTCTCCAGCATGTACATGTGCCCTATAGCAAAAATCTCTTTAAAAAATTACTAACTCAGTGGAGCAGGACTTAATGACATGAGGCTGAACTGATGAAAGATTATGATTTTTAAGACTTTTGTTCGAAATATTACTAAGATTTTCTATACTATGTTTTCCAGATTTAAGAATTTTTTTAAAAGTCTTGTGGCAACTTGAAACGTATTTTGAAAATAGATTGAAGCATTTACTCTTTCTTCCTGATCACTTCAGAATTTGAAACTATCAGTATTTGTCAGTATTCTGACTATATGGAAATATTATTTGCATATATTCCATATCTATTCTTTTATCATGGGAATTGGAAACTGGTTATATTGCCAGAGCTTTGACTAGAATGTCACATCTTCAGATATGATTGGAGAGCTAAGGAGATAAACTTTATGAAAGCCAACAAAAGCCACTGCGAGATTCACCTTCTCCCTTGAATAAACAGTTCCACTTTGCAGGTATGCAGTCAAGGAGATCACTTTCTGACAGTCCCAGAAACTTCAAGTATTAATACTTAAATGCACAGCCTAAAGGTGAATCCCTGAACTGAGAGGCTTTTAAACAGGTCTGATGTAAGGCTGCTTATGAAAAAGTTACAGCAAAACCAACTTGATCACTGGAACAGTATTCTTGCTGAACTTCATGCACATAACCATGCAAAACAGAGACTAAATTTATTTCACAAATGAATTAGCTTTATGATGATTATCTTTGTTTAAAAGTGATCCGAGAGAAAAACTATATTTCAAAGAGCACTATAATGTACCTTCATTAGATTTTATTCTGTCCATTATTTTGAGCTTTTTTTTTTTTTTTTTTTTTTTTACTGAAAATGTGGATTAAATCCTGAATTCTTTTCTGGCTTTAAGTATTCAGACTAATATTTCTCAAATTTTCTGTCATATTTTAAATTTTGATTGCTTAAAGCTGAAACTTCTTTTCCAAAAACATCACAATAGCCTATGAATTGATAACTTTCATAACACACAAAGTGCACACTAGAAAAAAAATCTATCAGTTTGCCTCAGCATACTGTTTCTGCTGTAATTCATTGGCAACAGTTGTTGAAGACCACAGAACAGTTTTGGATTACATCCTGGTTGAACAGGGAGGAGTTTGCATGGGACGGATACTTCGTATTACACTTCCATAAATGAATCTTCAGAGATACACATATGGGTAAAATAAGACAACAAGCTACTAGGCATTAACAGGCCTCACTTATAATTCTCTTCCCTGTTTTTGGATACCTCAGAGAATTAGTTCTATCTTAATAGGACTACTGAAAATGGGTCTAGCAATTTTGGCTGTCTTATTTGTTGTATATATAGTGATTAAGTGTGTTTTCAGAGGGCCAGCAGGTGGCACGGTGGTGAAGGTGCTATACACTCCCACATGGTCGACCACAGTTCGAATCCTGGACCTGGAGGCTTGCTTTCTCACTTTCTGTGTGTGTGTGTGTGTGTGTGTGTGTGTGTGTGTGTGTGTATGTATCTGGTCAAATTAAAATAAATGAATGGATAAATAAAATTACATGAATAATTCTCCTACGAAAATGTGTTTTCAGATGTTGCAGCAGAACAGTAGACACTGGGCCTAACGAGGTGGTAATGAAAAACCAACGTCTTGTCAGTATTTCAAGATGGAAGCACACTGTTATCTCTCTTCTATCCCAAACCCCTCAAATTGTGTA